TTCAAAATACTTCGTTGTTGTCATACCCGTTATCTGAATCGCAATATTGAGAAGAGATAGGTAATCTCGCGCGTGCGCGAGCCGCAAAGTTTCTTCCATTTTTCCCGCGGATCACCTCGCCGAGCGTCGCGTCGCATTTCGACCCGGTGGGATAGGAAAAAGGACACCCCTTTTCGATCTCATCTTCGGACAGCGGGTGCAGCGGCGGCGGAACCTTCGTTATCGAAAGCCGCTCAAATTTTTGTGTTAATTTGGCGAAAGGTAAATATATCGAAAAATAATACAAATATTATGTCGAAGATTAACACAAAATTATATAACATCCGTAATATGCTGATCGAAGTATCAAGTGTGTTATTTTAACACTTACACATGTTGAATATCAACTTAACGCAAGATATATTGAGATAACATAAACAAAAATTTTAATAAGGACTGATTTTAACATAAATAAAATGTTTCTTCACAGTGTACTCTATCATGTTTTACACAATTTTATTTTTGTTATTTATTGCCTTAAGATATAAGGCATACAATATGTTACAACTAAGTAAGACTTGTCTAGTAGTTTCCTTTTGAAAATCGTCACTATATTTTACACTATGACTATATAACAAAACCGATTCTACATTTTCTACATTTTAATGAATAGCCAGCCAGCAGCAAACTAATAATGAGCTAGAAAATTTAATCTAGCTTATACCAGCTGGTTACATAGTGAAAAATTTTTTTTGTTAACGTCGACCTGCTGAAATCTTTATGTCACTTTAACATGGGGGTTATGTTAAGAAGTACACAAATACATGACAAAATATGTTAAATTGTCGATACATACGTACATGTTAAGTTAACATATTCACCTTCTTAACATATTCATTTTGTTAAAGTAACACAAACATTTCAACGAACCATTTTTAACACAAAATGTTTCCTATCGTGTAGCTTTTGACTTGAATAGGCCGAGCAGAGATAATATTTTTACTCGCGGATGAGAGGGAAAGGGGATCTCCGCGAGTAAACGCGATCCGCGGGTCTATCGCTACCACTACTATTACCACCCACCACCAGCGCAGCACCACCATCATCATCTCCTCCACCCGTCACCTCCTGCTCCACCACCACCGCCAGCAACAGCGCAACCACCACCACCGCCATTCCTCTCGGATCAATATTATTCGTAACCCAGTTTACCGAAGGTTCCTACTTTCACCGGCGGCCGAGCGGCGGTCCGTTTAAAGTCATTCATCTCGATTCAATCGTAGTCAATAATGTCGCCGGAGATGAGTGCGCGTTTCATCCGCGATTCCGCCGAGAGATAATCGCTGCCGTGTGCCGGCCTATCCGGGTCCGGCTGTAATAATTCGCGCGAGGCTCACCGCGCAGATTCGACTTTCACTAAGCGGATACACGCGCGCGCACATTATGTATGTGCGCCTAGAACGACCCCGTGGAGTACGTCCTGCTTTCCGAGGTCGTGGCCTCTTTCTTTCGGCCGTCCTCGGACGTCCCGCGCGATCCTCATTTCCGTCCCAGGCCCGACGCTTCGTATCGGCGACGACACGCGATTGAAAAGTCGAATGACGCCGCAAGAGTCGGTAACGCGCGCCCGGACGATATTTTCGCGTCGTCCTGCCTCGTGTCGGAGCCTCGGCACAGCAAATCGAACACCACTATCGTTAATCGCACTCACCTCGTGCACCGTCGCCGCTATTCGATACGCTCGGTGAATAACGGATGGCGGAAAAGGACCTAGCAAGACTATCTCTCTCTCGGCGGAAACGGTTTCCTCCTAAATTTCAATATGGTTTTGTAGATACGAGATCTCCCTCTCTCTCGTTCATGCCGCCTGGGAGGTGTTCTAGTTTTTTCTCTCCCCCCACTAGAGAAAGAAGGACAGTGACTGTATACTTCTTTTTACTTCGTGCGTGTTCGCACACCTGACCCAATTGACCGCGCCGCGAGATATCTCGCTGCGAGACGCGGGATCGCCGTTTCCTAGACACCTCTCTTGTCGTCATCCGGTCGCTCGTCGTCCCGAAAGGTCAGTCGACCGAGATAGGACGGAGGGAAAGAGAGAGAGAGAGTGACTGAAAGAGAAACACCACCGTTCTCATATCGCGCGGCATCCATGAACGGCGATCCCGATAGACGTGAAGGCGGGGTAGAAGAGGGCGGAGGGAGGGTAGAGGGCCGACCAGGAAGTACCGCTCGAGTGTTGCATTGTGGAACAACTGCGATAGAGAGTATACTACGCTTCCTTTTCCCGCTCCCTCCTCTCCGCGTGTCCGGCGTGCGCGCACGCGTGCACGTACACGCATCCACGTGCGCAGTGCCGTAACGACTTTGCGAATAACACGCTGGAGGACGACATCGGGTGTATTCCGAGCATTACGGGGATCCCCTCGGTCCCGGTCATACGCTCCTGTGCATTTCGCTTGGTCGGTAACAATGGGGGGATGAATGGGGATGCAGTTACGGAGGTTGCCTCGCGACGTTGCACGAGAGAAAAAAAATTAGCATCAATTTTAGACTCCCCCCCCATGTTCTCATATGTAATCTCATGTGAAGATAAAACTTGCTCACACACATGAAGATATTTTATGTAGTTCCATTAAAAATATCGTGTATTCTTGTGTTATTCGGGAATATTTTCTATGAATTGAGAGGATAAAGGTGTCGGATAAAAAGAACGATATCTCCAGACTAAGAATTGTATCAGTTTGGAGATATAGTCGCGGTTATTTTGGAAATTATTCTTGAATAACAAGACTATGATATTTTTAAGATCAAACCTTACTCTGCACGAGTAAGGTTTTCGAACGTAGCAATCCCTGGAGGGTACGAGACGTCGAACTCTTGGTCACGAATATCTCTCGAACTCGAGAACTCACTGTCCACTTGGGGTCTCTTTTGACCCCGCGCACTTAATTATTTGATATTACATCCAATATGTGTACTAATAATTTGGTATGTAAAAAAACATACCGAGATTTGCATATGTAATTTGCGTTTCACATGTTCCAACTTAACATCCGAAGATAACGATTCTGAATAGTTATTTTCACGGCAATACTTATATTTATTGTTATTTTTAATTTCAATGTAAAATGAGTAATCACAAGGTGGGTTCGAGAATGACCCCGGGTGGATTGTGTGAAACTCGAGAGCGAGTGGGCAGCGAGGATCCAAAGATAATATTCCATCACGCGTCGGTACGGTTGTGTGAGTGCAATGCTTCCTTTCGCGAGTCCCCCCTCGAGTTCCCCTCCGTGCTGTCTTGAAAGAAAATGAAGATCCAAATCCACGCGAATTGAATTCCATTCAAAGGTCAGGCACGTGCGCGCGAATATTCTCGTTTGCAGCGCGGTTCCCGGGCGAACAGCCGCCCTGGAAACTGGTGCCATTGAGCTCTATAGCGTACTGAAGCGAGCCGTCGAAGAGTGGGGAGGGGGGAGTATCCTATTCGTAGGAAAGGATGCGCATATGCTGGACTATCCTTGTCATAATACTAGGTACAAAAGAGACGGATGTCCCCCCGAACGTATATCCATCCTTTTCCCCGGCGAATAAATTTCTACCGTTCAACGT